ATAAAATAATTCTCTAAAAGGCTTCCAAAACCCACAAAGTCCTCAAGTAAACAAACATGTCTTTGATTTGTTTTTGTTTACCAACCAGACGGCCTACGTTAGGTTAGGTTAGAATAATTCTTCTTCTCTATTGATATTTCGACGATTGCGCTGTTGCCAAACTCACAAAAAAGTTTGGGTTCGAATAAAATTATGATCATTATAACGAATATTAGGATATTATTACTGACACTGAATCATCATCTTGCAAGGTATATAAGTATTCATTAAGTGATTATCAGGAACCAGGTGGCCACATTGTCTTTTGCGAACGTAAATACTCTGTCATTGGTGATATTGAATCTCATATAGGTAATTACTGGCTATAAATTTGGCAACGATGACTATTCTCCGTGCCAGCAGGTTGATGACGTCACGAAACCTGGCGTTTTTCGAAGGTTCTGATTTTCAATTAATGAAAAAACGTATTTTGGATGATTTTAAATAACAACTGATAGCATCAAATACTATTCACACACGGACTGATCAATATAAAATAGGTATGTGGCGTGAATTCGATTAGAGTGTACAACCCCATTCTATCAAAGGAGTATGCGCCGAATCCACATAACGTAAGCATAAGCATGAAAGTTCAAATTAATCAACTTTCAAGGTCGTTTCTTAGGCTTGTGCTTATGCTCATGCAGGACTAAAATTGATGTGTAAATGGCCTAAAGCAAGTAACTTGTTTCATTTTCTAGTTATGCTCAAAATTATGGCTAAGACAATATGATTAGGACTATACAAATGTTGCATGAATCCAACATTAAACGAAAAATTGTGAAAATGAAATTGTGAACACAAATGAATGTGTCACGATGCCAGTGAATCTGGTTTAGAACTTCGGAAATTTAGCAAGTTTCTCCCAGGCCTCGCTATTCATACAAAGTAGGCGATATCGAGAGATTTCGAAACTATTTTCGATAGGAAGTGATAACACCATTTGACTTTCTTTACATCTATGTTCGTGCCATTGTCAATGTAAATGGAAACCTAGTAGGCGACCTAGTACTCGAGGAGCGTATTATAGCTCTAGCCTACTAACTACCGGGCTAGTTTGTCATTTAGAATGACATTGTCCGTACTGAAACCTCCAAAGACCATATTATCAAAACAAAAAATGATTACGAACTCTGACACACACATATTGGGACAATGCGATAACGACAAAGTGTATTACGGAACATGCAAACTTTCTGGCAGTCCCATAAGATTGATATATCAGAGATTATACAATATACACATAATCTCTGGATATATGAAAAGCGTATATTATAAATATTTTTCCATGAATTCTAATTATGAGTTCAAATCCTTTGGTAGGGTACAAATGCCCACCAAAGGACCTTTCCAGTATCGTAAAGTTTGACCCTTTTTCGCTATAATATTATGAAGGGAAGTTGAATACGTTATCTTCACCACATATTGGCTCATCGTTGCTCATACATCATCTCAGAGCAGAAATGGATAGATATACTCTGCTGCCATTTATACAGTGTGTCCCGGTTTTCATGAATACAAATCTCAGCTATGAATAATGCGATTTTCTTGAAATTTTTATGGTGATTATATCAAAGAATTAATGAAGTATATTGATTGATTGTCTTTATTACGAACTACGAAATAGCCACAATGCTCACAGTGGAATGAAATAGTAAATAAATGTGAAAAGCTCACAGTCATTTCCACCCAGTGTTCATAAAATGAACAACAATGGTAGATTTCGAGAGAAAAACAACTATTTCCCTGGCTAATGCCACGCAGGATATTGGATTACATCCTCCCGAAATCTATGCATCGACTCGTTTAAACGAATACTGATACAAGTGATTCTTTCCTGAATGCCTATTGATTTCGATTAAGCCAGGCCGCTAGACAACCACAGACCGGTTTCGAGCTCTTTGACTCTCATCAGTGCAGTGTAGTATCCAGCCAGCAGTCCTTAGACCGCCGACTCAGCGAAGCCTAGCCAAACAAAAATCAAGTTGGCATTATATCCACCCCGAGGCGTCTTTCATCGATAAAATGAAAGTAACGCCATCTGAGTAGAACCGAGGAAAGAATCACTCCAAAACTGGAATTCCCATACGAGAGTGGCTGGCAGCCCGACTGGCGTGATATGAACTACGAAATAGCCACAATGCTCACAGTGGAATGAAATAGTGAATAATATAATGCCAACTTGATTTTTGTTTGGCTAGGCTTAGCTGAGTCGGTGGTCTTAGGACTGCTGGCTGGAGACTAAACTGCACTGATGAGAGTCAAAGAGCTCGAAACCGGTCTGTGGTTGTCTAGCGGCCTGGCTCAATCGAAATCAATAGGCATTCAGGAAAGAATCACTTGTATCAGTATTCGTTTATACGAGTCGATGCATAGATTTTGGGAGGATGTAATTCAATGTCCTGCGTGGCATTAGCCAGGGAAGTAGTTGTTTTTCTCTCGAAATCAACCATTGTTGTTCATTTTATGAACACTGGGTGGAAATGACTGTGAGCTTTTCAAATTACACAAATAATCATGCAATATCAACCTTGTCTTTCATAAGTAGGTATTCAAATAAGAAATGGAATCATCAAAGTCTCTGGAGCAGATATTTTTTCAAGTTAATTTTGAATCTAGTTGTTTTCTGTATATTCCTCAATTGAATTGGTAATGAGTTGTATAGATCGATTTCTGTGTGAAAAATGGATTGTTTGCCGATATTTGACTTAAACGTATTTGATTTAGGTAAATTTGATTGTCTCGTTCCATGATTATGTAATGAATTGATTTCATTGAAATTTGAATTCTAAATTTTCAATTCATATAGGACAAATTGATTGAAACAACATATTTTAAGATTATATAGTCATGTCAGATGTAATGAATCTGCTACTTCTATAGTTGGCCAAAAAAAAATTACTCACGCTGCTCTATCTGAATTTAATAAATTACCACATAATATAAAAAATTGCAGACATATTTCAAAATTCAAAATTGAATTAAAAAAAAAACATGATTATATTACGAAATGAATAAAATTGATACTTTGTCATCTACTGATTAGTCCCTGTGGCTATTTTTATGACTTGATCGATTTAGCATTTTTAGATTTTTTAGATTTTTCATGTTGTTGTTGTCACCTTATATTATTTTATTAATGTTGTTTGTAATCAACTTCCTCATACCAGAATTTTATTTCCGACTGGAAGCTAGTTTTTCAATTAACAATAAACAATAAACAATAACTTCAATGTTTTATTTTGTAATTTCATTGGTGGACTCAAACGTGAAATATTGGCACTTCCCCATATAGATAGCTATTGAAATTTTGAGTAAATAAGAGAGAAATAAATGCTCTTCAAGTATCTAGTAGAAATGAAATTTCGTATTTTGAATAAAATGCCTGAATGGGATTAAGTTTGTTTCTCAAATGATCTCTATGTTTATTCCACAAAAGTCGTTCATCAATATGAAGACCTAAAAATGTTGTAACATCTGTATATTTGATGAGTTCATCGTTGAAGGATAGTGTTCCATTTGAAATGTTCAGTGTTCTGTTTGCTATGTACATATATGAGGATTTGTTATAATTGAGAGATAGTTTATGAACTTGTAACCAAGCGGATATTTTTTCTAAATGTAGATTAAAAATAAAACTGGTCCCAAGACTGACCCTTGCGGTACACCGCATGAGATGGCAGTGTTAACATTTTTATTCACCATAAGCGTTCAGTGTTGCGTGGAGTGAAAAAGGCCTTTATTTAGGAGAAGGATATTAGGGCTCATTTTAGATGAATTTCTTCATCAGATTCAGATTGAGCATCTTCCCAATTCATTCAAAATATTTCAAAATCCTGCTTTTTATATAAGACCATACCTTTTAATGTCAGTTAATATTAATGCGATTTGCTTGAAATTTTGATGGTGAATTATATCTTAAAAGAATAACATACAATCACCATCACAATCTTGAAATATTCACATTATTAATAACTGGGATTTTAAGGCGTATATAGTCATGTAAACCGGGATTTCAATTTTTTCTCGAGATTTCGAAAATATGAATAGGAAGGAAGGTTTTTGGAAATGCTCATATTGTTTGTGATGAGGAAAGTTATTCAAAATAGGGTCTTTAATATCCTCTACCCGAATAAGTCCTTTTTGTACCAGTCAATATCGCAAGCAAACGTAGAATGAAATTGTTCAAGTGTTCACTCTGCTATATACTTCGTTGTACTATAACATACAATCGCCACCAGAGTTTCAAGGAAATATGAGGGTGTATTCATGAAAAGTGACACACACTGTATATATTTTTGATATTCACTTGAATATCAACAGGAATACTGGTTCAATTTTACAGTTTCATATGTCAGCCCAATGATTATTCTGCCTTTTTTTTGTAAATATCAATTCTATTTCCTCTCAGACGAATGTATTATTTTCGAAATCATTCAATGGTAGAAAAGTCACCAATTCAGAGACATGGATTTTGCATGAGTTTTGTGGCTGTTAGCAAAGTAGCTCTTTTTGTTTGGTGATTTTGCGAAATTTTCGGAACATAAATAAAAATATTTGGCAGTTTCACATTTTCTGATTGAGCTAGACTGTAGCTGAAAGATGAAAATATGATATAGTGTTTACAGATTCCATTGTGTTGATGAATGAGAAAAATATGATGAGAAATAAGCGAAACTGTACGCAAAGTTACCCCTGCTTCCTCAATTACATTATTTAGAATTATATCCTATTCACATAGGACAGTCAAATTTATGTGAGAGAGATTTAATATTTCTAGTAGATATTCAAGAATGATAAATCATTTCGACAAGATGAATACTTGAATCAAATATAGGTATTATTGAAAAACATCTTAGAGCTGAAAATGATCTAAAGAAATTATAGAAATTTGATTAAATTTTATTGAAGAAGAATGTATGTTACATAATTTTTAACATCTTCTTCTGAATATGCCGGATTATGCTGTAAGCTATAACATCGTAAGCGAAACACTTGTAGAAGAGTTGAACAATCGGTTGATGGGTATATTGAAGTGAAATAATAATATGATAATGATGATGATAATATTTCAGTTTTATAACATTTCTTCCGTATGGAACCAATTGAAAATCCATTTTCATTTATTTTTAGATTTTTTAGTAGCTTTCTTCTCCTTCTTGTCTTTTTCTTTCACGATAGCTGTAGATTCTGAGAAAATCTCAATGTATTTCTGTTTTACTTTATGGGCATCTTCTATCATCTTTTCCGACTCAAGTCGACATCCTGTTGAGAAATTCAGAAATCAGACTCGAAAACAACAACAAACACAAGTCTCTCGAAGACTTCTGAGGGTTGCTCGTAAGGAGACAACCTAATAGATAAGAAAACTTCAGAAAGGATTAGATTTTCACAAAATACTCAAGAGCAGAAAACATTTTGCTAGCACAGTATAGGTGGTTGATGTAAGAATAATTTCGAAGTTGTCATCAAAATTATTAATTCATTTCAAAATAGTTAGTATGTATATTGGATTTGTTTCGTTTTCATCTGAATTTTCGAATTTGGTAGTTTTTGTTCTTATAATATTTTTTATGAACATTTCCATTCGTCCTATAATCAACTAGCAACTTCTAATTTTCCTGTAGATGAACCTAAATAGGTTGAAGTACTATAGTTTTTATTGTTGAACAACAAAATGGTCGAAATTCTCAGAGTGGATAACCGATAAGAATAATCGAAGAACTCGTAGAAAGTCCTCAAGAAATCATTGGTTCACCATGATTTTTTCACAGAAAATAGTTAAAGTTCTTGATGTTATTACAATGGGCGTGTACACCATAGTAGAACTTTTAACTCGAACCATGTTTATAATGATCCTTTTATACATATATAATGATTGACGACATAATTCGATCGAAAAATTAACTGGAATGTTTCATTTTTGGACATAAATAATAGTACCTTCTGAAAATGGACCCTCTCATGACGTAGAAACTTCATCTCGCCATAGTTAAAAGAAAATACCAAACGCCCGACGGAGACTGAGACAACTGATATTTTAATTCTTTAACTGTGATCTCGCGCTAATTCACTCTGTCAGTAATTATGTAGCATTCATCTCTGTCTGGAATAGTCTTGTTTCAGTATTAGGGTTTTGACCTCACATCATCGCCTCGTTTTCAGGTGTCCGAAAAATCGGGGATTTCAATAATTCTTTATAAAACGTAGGGAGCTCACAGCAAGAAACGGTTTGCGGTGGTGAGATAGTTTAGGTGAGTTCGATCGAATTATGAAATAAAAATTTTTTGTGATATAAGTCCATTACTATAAATATTTTCTGCAGTGTATTTTGGGGGTTTGTTATTCGGAGAAAGTATGTATAGTAGATATATCTTCTATATTCCTTGAAAACTAAAAGAAATTGATTGCAAAAAGTGTGAATTTGAAATATTAACCGTTGTACCAGTCCTTCATCAGATTATAATTATCAATTTGTGTTTTTTCCATTTCCGCAATTTCTTCAGCAATATTCTCGTTGAATTCACGAAACCTCACTATAGCACGAAATTCATTTTCTATTTCTTCTTCAATTATCAGACCATCTTTCAGAACTCTACAATAATATATTCATAAACTTGATTCTTCTGCAACGATTTTTTTTTTACCTTTCACCAGTAGCATCCCCAAGAGGTATTTTTCTGTACATATCACAATAAGTATCATAATCTGGCAATACCTCTTCCTCAAATATTTCTGGATTCGAAGTCCTTATTTCCCCATCCAGGCATATTTTTCCATTGGTTATTTTGTTTTCATCAATGAATGTGTTCCTGTTGACGAAACGAAATTTTTTTGGAAAATTCGAAAGTATATTATACGCTGTCAGAATATTCATAGAATATTCTGTGCTGTCTGGGTATCCTGATGTGTTTGAAATGTGATAACATAATTGAACTTTGAAGAACATTGATGTTTCAGCAATAATATTGAACTATATGACATCCCTGATGTGTATTTAATATATCTTAAAGTGTGACTGCTAATATTGATAACATTGCTATTTTTTTTTATGTTCTGGTTCCCACGAAGAGGAATATCCTGTAATGTTCAGAGAACATTGTGAGAACCAAGGAAAATAAGGTAGGAATTGGTGTTCTTCTTGAATTTCTGGAGGTAATATGCCTCAGGGAACACCTTCCTTGGCAATATGTTCCAGAGCCTCGCTGTTCGTTGGATGAACGAGTCTTTGGAAAGAGATGTTCTGCAGGTCTCCAAAGTGACCACGAAGGGGTGCGAAGCCTCAACTCGACGGGTTAATCTCGCGGGGCCTGCCAAAGGAGGAACAATTGTTGATATTTCAGAAGAGCATCGTCCATGAAAATATCTATAGAATAGAGCCAGATCGCCAACTTTTTTACGGTGTTCCTGAGAAGTGAGTGAGTTTGTGAGCGAGGCATCACCCACGGGACGAATTGCCCTTTTTTGGACAGAATCCAACAGTTTCAGGGTATGTTTGGGTGCTGCACTCCAAATATGGAAGCAGTATTCCAGGACAGGTCGGATCTGTGCCTTATAGATCATAAGCAGCTGACTGGAAGTGAAATAGCTCCTGGTCTGAAACAGATATAGCGACTATCGAAGTAAACACCTACTTACCTCAGCTCTTCCGACTTTTTATTTCTCATAGGATCATTGCTGTACCATCTGATCTTGTTTTGTCTCAATTCCATATCTCGTTTTTCATCTGTCGATAATCGCACCAAATCAGTAGAGCCAGTAATGACCTGCAATGTCCAGAATGGACTCTGAATCTCCGATATTGAATGTTTCCTAAAACATCAAAAACTAGTCCCAGTTTCTTTCTTGAAGTATCGTAAGAAATATTTCAAACCTTTCAACAAGGTATCCCTAAAAGGTTTTCACAACAACTTACCAAATATTCCTTAGACTCAAACAATTAAATAAGAGCCAATTCACCTAAGTATGAAGTTTATTTATTCATTTATTTATTTATTGTGGGATGCGAACAGGACTTGCTCAAAAAAATGCATCCTCTGAGTGGTTATATAGTTACAATAAGGTATAAATATTATGAAGAGGATATCATAACAATGTCACGCTATATGGGTTGTTTGTTGTTAAAAAAGCCTCCACCATGTCACGATATCGTGAGGTTTCCACCATGTCACGATATATAGATGGGTTAGTCCCGCCATGTTACGATAAAATAGAGATAGTTAGTCCATCTATATCGATTTAAAAGGGGTTTGCTTGACATGCAAGAGGTAATATTCGAATAGGCACTAATAGTTCAGGGGTAGCTGACAGTACGGGACTACATTCAAACATAACAATATTTATTATAGCATGAAACATTATGGGTGGAGTGATGATAAATATGAATAACCAACAATGAATATAAAGACCAAATAACAACTTACATTATAACGACCATCACGACGAGCACTTGTCAAGTCAGGAGTAGCCCCAGACCAGACTAAGTATATACATCAATTTATTAGATATGCACGTTTCTCATAAAAGTTCCTTGGTCAGTTTTTATAATTCAATGTCAACTGATGATTTGATTTACTTTATGTTTATAGAACCCTCATGGTTCGAAATTATTAATATACCGTATGTTCTACTCGTGACAATAAGAAGAATTAAAAAACAATTATTGGGGGTACAACTTGACAGATATTCAGTGGTGCTTTAATTGTGAAAAGTGTGTTCTCAATATGTTTTGAAATTCGTAGAAGCTATTCGCAGATATGTCGATGCTAGTGGAATTTGATTAAATATTGTAGGTCTTGATTATCCTGTGTAGAAGAGAATTTAGAAAATAGTTTGTATTTGCTTGCTCGTTAAAAAATAAAAATAGTTTGGCGAGTGTTGTCGTGGTGTACAGCATATCGAATCTGACTTACAATTCCGTTTGAGTCTATTTTGTGATTCACAACTTTGTAAAGAAACTTCACGTCTGTGATTTTCATCCGGTGTTCAACTGAAATGAGGTTTAGTTTTTCCCGAACAGTGCACCTTTCGCTGAGGTGCGGACAGCATTTCCTGTTTACGTAATCATTGAATTTGTTTCGAATACTCTCAAGTTATTGCGCGTGAATATTTTAAAAACGGTGTCAAATCACTGAGCCCTATAATGTTCTGAGATTTCTGGGATATCACGTACTTTGTTGCAGAACCTTTCTTGATACTTCCATTCGGGTCACCCAAAAGCTTGTCAGCTTTCAATCGTTCAACCACTTTCCATTCAGCCGCATTCAATGGCCACGAGTTTTCCATGACATTGGCCTCCAAGAAATAAACTTCGCTAACGTCGTACATCTTTTCCCTATCTTCCATGCCATTGGAGTGACTCCTGGTTCTCGATTTGTGCAAACCTAAGGTTTTCAATAAAAAAGAATGAGCTAGGCAACAACAATATAGTGATCCTCCTCTGGGTGCCAGGGCATATTGGAGTGGAGAGAAATGAACAAGCAGACACTCAGGCACGACAAGGGGCTTCAACGCCACTGATCGGACCAGAGCCATTCTGCGGCCTTGGAAATTCCTATTTCCAAAGAGAACTTGAGAAGGTGGAAGGAGCCTGGAGAGCCACACAATGAAGAAAACATCCAGGACGACGGCAGGCTAAAGATCTCCTTGGAAATTTCAACCGAGAAGGATCTAAGACACTAACAAACCTCAGCAAAGGAAGCCTCAAAGCAATAACGGGATTTCTAACGGGGCATTGCAGACTCAAAGAACACCTGAGAAAACTAGGCTTACAGGAGGACGGCACCTGCAGATTCTGTGAGGAAGAACCAGAAACACACCATCACATACTGATGGAGTGTGACGCTGTACATCACAAAAGATTGAACATACTGGGAACACACCAGCTCACTGTGGAAGAAATACCACAGCTAGACTCCCTCAAAATCCTCAAATTCCTGAAGGAATTGAATCTCGAGGGGCTGCTATGAACAAGAAATCTTTGATATAGCAGAAGCAGATGGGGCACAATAGATCTAATTAGGTCGCAGCGCATTTGTCACCATCCAACCTACCAATACCAATACCAAAATAAAAAAAATGTGGCGATATTTCAAGAAAATGTTGTTCATCTGTTAATTATTTTTTAAAACAAAAAGAAAAAAACAATTTCACTATAGAAGTATAGCATCAAACAATAGAATTTTGAGGGATTCAACAAATCAATCCTTAAATTTCGGAAAATCTATCACATGCCAAAAATATTGGTTTTAGAGGTTTTGATAACACAGATAGAAGACTTTGGTGGGCTACTTTTATTCTACTACATGTGAAGATACTTGCTGAATTAAATTCACTTGCTTGAGGATCCTATCAGGGGGACTGATTCTAATGTAGCAATGTCTCAACCAAATGCTTGTAGAGTATATCAATTATTATGTTGAATAGACGTTAAAAAGGCAGAAATATAGCTATTCGTGATAGAAAATAATTGTTTCCATTGGTTCACATTTGTTTTTGTGCTTGTGATTGAATAATACTTCAAAACAAACCGCTCAGGAGTGTTCAAGTTGTTGCCGTCAGATGGAACGACGTGTTATTTTTTATCGCGAATAATCATTGAAATAGTAGATGAAGAACTATAACTTCACAGCTTTATTCATACCACTGAGTGGAAATGTAAAAAACTAACCACATTGATAAATGTTTGTTGCAGGTCATAAACATTACTTCTAGTGGGTAATGTAGAGTAGTGAACACAAGTGTTTATAAATAGGTAATAAATCAATATAGCACACACAAAAAAAAGAGTTTTGTCAAACAATAACAACAAAAAAGATAACATCGTAAATACGGTCAACGTCAGATTCAATTTCATTTTAGGTTTCGAAGGGCGTTGGTTAGAATTCCTCAGTTGAATAAAAGCAGTGCTTCACAATGAATTTCCTCAGGAGATTCTTGAAGTGAGGGTTGTTAGTATTGGCCAATTTGGTTGGAAGTAGGTACATTATAGACCTTCAACTTTATCATCCCTAACCAGCAATTTACTTTTGTCTTTTGGGATCTCCAGATACATAGCGATGGCAGAGGCATTATGGAACATTTAATGAATAGCGGTTGGCAGTGCTGACGGGTGCTTGCACCAGCAATGACTCGTATTTGCCCACTTCTGCAAACGGAAAATCTTCATAGCGTTATAAGCGTAACCTGGCCTAACGAAACCCAATTAATCAGCATATTTGAAGCCCCAGAGGATTCTCTCATGGGCAACATGAGTGTAACGCTATCTAGAGTGGAAGGAAAGATATACTCCACAAAACTGAGTTGGGTCAGGTTACGCTTAGCTGGTGGTCTCAGGACAGCTAGCTGGAGACTACCCTACACTGATGAAGGCAAAAAGTCCGAAACCGGTCTGTAGGTGTCATGACTTTAACCTGGCAAAATCTAAATCAGTCGGCATTGAGGAAAGGAACACTTGCATCAGAATCCGTTCATACATAGATTTCGGGAGGATGTAGTTCAATGTTCATGCCACATTGGGCATTTTGCTATATTAATTACCTTTGGTGTTTGATTTTTTGTCGACCGATTTCAAAGACTCTTCTTTGTAGATTTTCCTGCAGGTGTCCGAGGTTTTATTTCCCAACATAAGCACTGGAAGGAGAACGGACCCTATGCCCGTGACGTCATTCAAGAGTTCGTCGTCTTTGAATAACTTCATGTTGATCTTTACGTCGGGATGGTTGGTGGAGAGTTGTAGAGTTGCCAAGGCATGCTCTGAATTTACCAATATCATGTACCTGAATAGCATTGATGTAGTATAATAGTAGGGAAGGCCAAGCCGGGATTAACATAAAGGGGGTATTCTTGAACCTTGTTAGGTACTCTCACCATACCTATGCCCTTTATATGGTGTCGAAAGTTTAGGGCAGCCGATCAGATTAGTAAAGAAAAATCGATCGTCAGATTAAGACATGGTACGTTAATTACGAGGTTAATTACATGCAAAAAAGTGTGCATTTCAATAATCTGACGATTTGAGCGTGACATAAGGAAATGGTAGAGCCACAAAGTTGCGAAAGAATTTTTTTCTCATTTTGAAGGCAACTAGCAACTAACATAATCTGCCGATTTGTACAAGCCAAGGTAGCGAAAATCATCAATTAATAAGTGTTGTGCTTGCAGCCACTGGGAACTATAATATGTATGTAATTGTGGTACCTAACGTAGGAAACTGAATAAAAAAAAGTACCACTTCGTATATTGTTATCAATCAGCTCATAAGGAGGAGTCTGAAAATGCAATAAAATACTATGTGCTATAAGAAAAAGTATAACTTTGAATCGCCTTGCATTTTTGAGTAACAATGTATAACGCAAGATATTTGAGAAATGTACTACTCATGAGACTAGACCATATCAAGAATTGTTGTTCATCTATCTCAAACAACAAAGCCGTGTTCTCACTTTGCCACACTATTGCTCCACCCTGTATGTCTACATAAGCCATCCATCTCAAAATTTTGATTTCTTCGAGCAGTTGAAGTCCTGCTAGGTACAAAAAACTGACCTATTCTGTATATTTTATATTTTAGTTATTACATTCAGTTAACAAAAAATCCAACCGTCAGATTAGGGTAATACCTCTATATAATTGTCAGATTATGGGTGGATACGACAAGGACATTAAGATGAAGCGTCTGTATGATAATCTACACGAGTATTTCAAGGTCACTATATATTTTTTTTCATTTTCAAAAATTGATCATGAGTTTTGGTCGCGTCCAAATCGTCAGTCTTTTGAATCGGAGAACATCCCTGCTCAATATCTGACGCGCTCGAATAATTTTTTTTTACTAATTCTCTATCCCTTCGTACGGCCACCCCCACCATGCAAACCGGCAGATTAATATTTTTGTTTCTGCAACCGACACAAAATTCGTCCATTTTGATACCAAAATTAGCTCTTAAATTGAGGTTTCTATTACTGACACAAAAATAGGTATATTGCTAGGCAACGTATTTAGTTCCTAGGAGCTAAAGTTGAAATTTAGTTCCTAGGAGCTGAAGTTGAACTTTATAGCTCCTAGGAACTGAAATGGATCTACTGGACGTCATCAAGAATAAACAACATTGTGACGGTTTTGGTTATTTGGGTTGAGACGCATACCTGATTTGTTTCCGATTTCAGCAGATTTGGCATTTCATACCCATGCTGGAGATATAAATAAACCTTATTATAGTTCAGTATATTGGAATTATCAACATCATCTCAGATACGTATTTTTGTTTTGATCAGGGAAGCCTTCAAGATTCAAATACTTGCTTGATTTGTATTTCATTCGTTATTCTCGGGATGGATAACTTGTTTTTGATTAATCACGGCAAGCAATAGTTTTTTTTTGTCTCAAACAACGATATTGTTTAGCTTCATTTGATTATTGAGTCAAATACAGTGTAGTATGGAAAGGAATAAATAATCACTATTATTATTGTTGATATGCTCACTAACCTAACATTTTCCACGTCTTGTTCCTATAGCTGAAACTGGCGCGGTATTTGCCATTAGGGCACCTGGTCCATGCACAAATATGTCACTCTGTGGTTGAATTTATATTGAAACTACAATTCGAACATCCTAGAAAAACTAACCTGCTGTTAATGCAGGTAGAATATTCTCACCACACGGATTATCTGTCAATATTTGTTGCATTGCATACATATGGCATGGCATTGGTGGTTACTTCACATGTTTATTTGAGTTAATTGTTTCGGTTGCAGAAAAAATAGCATGTTTCATTTGGATCAAAAGTGACTTTGTTCGACTCGCAAATTTTGCTTTCGCTCGGCTTCGCTAAACGCTCCGCCTCGCAAATGCAAAATTCGCTTGTCAAACAAAGTGTCACTTTTGATCCTAATAAAACAATCTACTATTGATTATCAAAAACACGTGGGGCGCATATATTATTAATATCTGGTGCGCTCGAGTATTTCTATGTGACTGTTTTTTTTCAACATTTTTGAATACCTGTACACGCTCTCTCCACCAGAGAAATGTCATGTATCATATGAACTTTTTTTCATTTTCGCATCTAATCACAATCTGATACGACCCCACGACGCTCGAGTAAATCCCTAGCTAGCCTCATTGCCTCCACTACTATATAATCCAGTAACTTTATACATCACAGTATGCGTCCTGATTTTTGCAGACTTGTTCATGATGTTGACCCAATGAATAATCCAAGTTTGTGACCTAGAACGCCGAACGCAATTTTGTCAAAAATCGAAAAAACTGCAAAAAAAACGTTTTTTTTTTTTCAGTTTTTGGCGAATATAACCCTATAGGAATAGTTTCTGGAAAAAAACTCTTCCAGAACGTTTTTGAAGTAGACCAAATTAATTTGATACAATATGATATAAAAATTGTCTCTGTAGACTCATCAGTTTCCGAGATTGAGCCTTTCAAAGTTTATAATGTTTTTCGAACTTCACAATTTTTTGCGATCCTGTCGTCCTGATTGATGTTTATACAATCGAAGCCCTGTACTTTCATGACGAGATGATAAGAAAGAAAATGAGGAATGTCAACGAGGATGTTTAAGCTGAGCTACGAATAATGAAATAAAAAAGATAAGTACAACAAAAGTAAATGAGTTTATTTGTTAGGACATAGAGTAATATTAAAGATAAAAAGATTAGAATAATTTAGCCCCCTTGCAAGGTCCCGGTTGAGGTTCGTCTGGATCTCGATCGACGTATTGGGATAGCATATTCCCATCAGGGGATGGTGATGAATCGTCGACGTCTTTTGCCCACAAGTCATCCTCCATTTCAACATCGGACAGATCGTCGCCTTCTGGGATATCTCTACTACTACAACATCAGGTACATTGTCACAAGAGGCCCCACTGCAGTGCCTGCAGACTGATGAGCATTTCAATCCTGACTTCCTGCAGCTGCACGCGTTCCCACAACCCTTTATCACATTCCTACTGTGATTCTGTGAAAAACTCTGTGCATTATCCACAGATAATAGATCTATCGAGAATAAGAAGAGAAATGTGGATAGCAGCCATCAAGAGAAAGGATCTAACAACAGAATCAATCATGAGAAACCTAAGGATGTGTATGAGGTACCTGAGAGAAAACCATTACTTATTATATGTGATGGCCCTACAACCAGGCGCCATCTTGCCAGCTAAAAAGTTCTGTGGTTTAGATTGCCTAAAAAGTTTGAAAACTTGCTACAGGTGGGTCGCATTCGTGATTTCACACGAACAGTACTAGCACACTCCGTCGGAGGTAATTGAAACTTCATCCCGCTATAGTATATTCGACTGACGCCTAAAACATTGCAAGAAATTGCGAAGTTCGAAAAAAATTATAAACTTTGACATACTTGCCATACCCGAAAACTATTGGGTCTACATAGACATATTGTAGCAAATTTGATCTGCTTTAAAAACGTCATGAGAGATTTTTTTTCAAAAACTAGTCCTTCAGGGTTATTTCGATTTTTGACAAATTTCCGTTCGGTGCTCGAGGTCACAAACTTGGACCATTCATTAGGCCAACATCATGAATTTGGGACACACGATATACCTGCATATTCGATTCCTCTTGCTAGGAATATAGTTGCCAGTGAGCACCTCGTTTTTCGTCTGATTGTGCGGAAAATGCAGCATTTTTTCGGTCGTCTCCTTTTGGACCGCATAGCACAGCTTATAGTACAGTTGTTTCGCAGTCGAGGACATCCCGTAACAAAGCACAGTATATCCGTTGGCGTTCGAATGGTACTCGTCTGACGCCACGTTGTTCGTGTGGATTTTCATCTCTTTACCTACGATTAAAGTGCCTCGAACATCTCAATTTAGGATCTTTGGAGAGTGAGGATACGCTTGTCATGTTGTTGAACAGGTAATAATGATAATATAATAATAATTATAGGACTCAATTAGGCGAAAGTTTAGCTACAAAGACATATTCTTACACTTCAACCTAAGTGCATATATGTATAATAAGTATAGATATTACAAGATATTTTCCACGAAAACAAACTGAATCTAATTTATATTCTTAATATCACTCTCAAATTGTCTATTTTTTCAGTTGTGGAAATATCAAATGTAGAAGTAATCTGTGCATCTAGGTAGATTGGGTTCTTTGTTCATCAAGAATTTTCCTATTTAGCTACATTCTGAATGAGATAATATATATTCAGTGATATGATCAGATCTACAGTCAAAGGAGTCGATACAATGTGGACCATATACTATATCGCAATAGTTGAAATTAGATAAAACTAGTTGTTCGAACATTTTTTTTTAAATCAAGAGATAGTAATCGTTGATTTGAGTACAGCAATAATTTAAGATTTGCTGACGTGTTTCCTGAATCGAATAAGAGTCAATAATTGAATCCAAATTTTTGTTTGCTGATACTAGTGTTGAAGTAACACCTCCTATGACTATGTTGATATCATTCTTCACCCGATTAATTCGACATCAAATCTTTGTTGACGAAATAGTTTGCTGAATAGGCATCTTTGGGATGAAAACTATGATATAATTGTCTATCATCAGCATAGAAGTGGCTTTTACAGTCTGACAGGCAATTAGATCATTCAGCAGTATATATAAGGAATAAAAGTGGTCCCAGAATCGTTCCCTGAGGTACACCATTATGCAATTTGAGGAATTGAGATTCACTATTGATATTCTCAACTATCCGACTTCTTCAACTCCAGTAGCTCTGAAAGAAATTTTGTACTGTCAAGTTCAACCCATGATATATCAGCTCGGAGAGTAAAAGTTGGTGGTTTAAGGTATCGAAAGCTTTTGTGAAATCTAACATTACCAAGGCTGTAACTTTATGATTATCCCATTCTCTGATGATATCATCACATATGACAGATGGAATTCCATTTTTCTATATACATCTATCAAGGATGAAAATCATGTGGTATTATTAACTTTGAGCATTATTGATATTTTTTGACAAACCTCGTATGCCACTGAGGAAAAATGATATTCGCTATTTGCATTGTCGGTTTCAAAGATTACAGAATCCTTATGGAGAATGACTTTTTTCATGAACTTGATGAAACAACATTCTATTCATTGCCAAGTTCATATTAATTAGGAATTCCCAAATTCATGGCCATCACACTATGACAATATAACTTGTTTCATCTTGAAGCTGCCAATTTAAAACTTGGACAAAAAAAGTTTATACATGAGGCGATTTCGAAATTCAATAAATTACTAGATGATATCGAAAACAGTCCAAATTGTTTTGTTCACTATTTGTAATTTCAATTATATAACAGTCGATAATACTTCATGAATAAATAACCGTCTACTAAATCATCTTGAAAATAATGGCCTATTGTTTAGTGATCAATATGGATTTCGTAGGTCAAAAGACACAGAGGTACCTGTGATGTATGTCATTTCAGATATTCAGTTACAAATGTAGTATGCTACTTGGGGTAGGATCGCAATGATAAACTTGAGACGTACAATAAACACTTATAATCAGCTTCTCAGTAATACCACTTGTCTTTACGCTCTCTAGATGAATAATGATTAATTCTACCTTATACCGTTTACATTACATAAAACTATATTAGTCACTATAAGTATATGAGTCGAGTCAGATGCCTTTCCATAGGCGGGTACTGCACGGCCATCCTGATTCGTTGTTGTCCTCAACAACTTCCTGGACTCCACTGCCTGTGAATAAGAATTCAAATAAGTATTCTCAATTTTTTTTTTAGTGATAATTCACTCCATTGAAGGCACAGTTTGTTATGAGACAAAATATACGAAATTCGAATGTTTTATTAATAAACATCAGTGGACTTATATCATCGAATGAATTGAAATCGTTAAAAACTAAATTCACTGTGCTATCAAAGGCTCTATCATTTTAACAATAAGCTCGAGTGCCATCAAGGGCTCGGGTGCCATCAAGGGCTCGAATGCCATCAGAGGGCTCTATTGTGCCATCAAAGGGCTCGACTGTGCCATCAGAGGGCTCTATTGTGCCATCAAAGGGCTCTATTGTGCCATCAGAGGGCTCGACTGTGCCATCAGAGGGCTCGACTGTGCCATTTACCTCAACGTTTTTGGAACAAGAATGGTTTCATGTGTTCCCCTGCTACAACCCCTTCGTATGGGCGATTGGATCTTCCCGTATGCAAATCCTCCTTCACCTTGTATCGGTCATTCGGAAGGACCTCTATAACCTTGAAAGGCCCCCTGAATTTGGGTAGAAGTTTTTTACTCTCCCCAGTTGCTGCATTGCTAATGACTTTGGTCAGTACCAAGTCCCCTATTTCGAAAACCTTTGGTGGACCTCGTTTTCTATTGAAGGTGGTATTTTGTTTAGTTCTGTTCTCCTCCATTCTTTGTGCAGCTTCCTCTCTCATTGTGGTTACGTCCAAGGTACGGTCCATAACGTCATGAATATCGCCATCCATTTTCAGAGGAAATCCAAATAATAATTCGGCAGGCGTGTTCTGTGTGATGCGGTGTTTTGTACTATTGATGCCTTGCTGGATTATGCCTATCTTTGAGTCCCAGTTGTTGCCGTCCGTGTCCGCTCCCGACGTGGCCAAAGCATCTAGTATTGTTTTATTCATTCTTTCGACTTGTCCATTTCCTCTAGGCATGCCAACCGCTGTGGTATGCAATTTGATACCTTTTCGTACTAAGTAATCTTTGAAGTCGTTTGAGACAAGCCCTTTTCCTGCGTCTGCAATAATTCTGTTGGGGTTTCCAAAAATTGTGAACATTTCTGTCAAAACTTCCAGCACCCACTTAGTGCTCGTATCAGGAACTGCTTTCAAATAAGTGAATTTTGAAAACCCGTCCACGATTACGAGTATATATTTATTTCCCCTCGGGGTCATTACAAAGGGACCCAAATGGTCCAAGTGGAGAGTGTGATGTGGTCTCGCATATTTAGGTATTGAATGTAAGAATCCTGATTTTTTTCCATTATTTTCTTTATAATAGAGGCAATGTAAGCAAGCTTTGATGTATTTTTGTACGAATCTCTTCATCTTCGGAAACCAATAATGATTTTTAATTCTGTCAAGAGTTTTTTCTAATGCAAAATGACCTACATCGTCATGGTTGGCTTTCACTATTTGCCATCTACATTTCTTAGGTATCACCCATCTTCGACCATATGGCGTAAGCCGATAAACTTTATTACCCCGTAGATCATAATCTTTGAAAATACTTTTATTATGTTCTATATCACCACTCAGCAATATGTCCTTGATTTCTTTTATAGAATCGTCCTGATCTTGTGCTTCGCGCAAATAATCGTTTTCACGTAGTTTCAGGATCTTTTTTGTTTCAAGATTCTCATTCGGCTCGAAATTACGGCTAAGTGCGTCTACATGTTGCATTTGTGTACCTGCTTTATGTTGTATAGTGAATGAATAGTCTTGCAAAAATAAAACCCACCTAGCTATACGCGGAACGATTGTTTGTTTGATCAGTGCATTCTTGACAGCATTACAATCGGTGAAAATGGTAAATTCATTTCCGATAAGATAAAATCTGAATTTTTCTAGGGTTTTTACAATTGCGAGTAACTCAAGTTCAAAAGAATGGTAGTTTTTTTCTGCATCGATGGTTTGCTTGCTGAAAAACGCAACTGGTCTTTCTTTCTTGTCATATTTTTGAACTAGTATACCTGCGAATCCGTCCCGACTCGCATCTGTGTAAACTATTATTGGTAATTTAGGATTGAATATACATAATACTGGTTGTGAACAGATTTTACTTTTGAGGTCATTCACAATTTCGGTTTGTGTATCGGACCATTTCCAACTAGAATTTTTCTTCAACAAACTCGTAAGGGGGGCTGTTAATCTAGCGAAATCATTTATAAATTTCCGGAAGAATCCAACTAGGCCTAGAAACTGCCTCAGCTGATGTTGAGTTTTGGGTATTGGGAAGTTGGAAACTGCGTCCGTTTTATATTTCGAAGGAGAGATCTGATTTAAAGAAATTTGATAACCCAGATATGTTATTTCCTGTACCAAGAATACAGATTTCGTCAATTTCAATGTTAGACCATATTCAACGAGTATATTTAGAACTTTTTCTAATAATATTAGTCCTTCAGCCTTTGACTTGGATGGGATAACTATATCATCAAGATAAGGTATCACGTGGAATTCCCTCAAGGGCTGAAAAATTTCGTTCATAAATTGCTGAAAAACTGATGGACAATTACACAGGCCGAATGGGGCCCTCAAAAATTCATAATGCCCTTCTGGCGTTATGAATGCTGTGTAAGGAATTGATTTGGGTTCCATAGGTATTTGATGGTAACCTGAAGCCAAGTCTATACATGTGAAGTAACTATAGTCTCCTAAATTATCAATAATTTCCTCTATTAAGGGCATAGGAAAGCTATTTTTCACTGTTATTTTATTGAGTGCACGATAATCAACTACCATTCTTTTTTCGTCGTTTTTTTTGTTTACTAGTAGGGCTGGACTTGAATAGGGTGACCTACTTTCTCTAATGATTTTGGCTTCTAATAATTCTTTTATTTTGGCTCTGATGATTTGTTTATCTTTTTCGGCACACCGATATGGTCGATGGGTGACAGGCTTATCAGTAGTTACTTCTACAGACAAGGAAACGGAGTGTGCTTTTCCAAGGTGATTCAAATTGGAAAACATGCACTTTTCATGTTCAAGTAAAATTTTGTCCAGTTGAGATTTTTCGAATTCCGTTAAAATTCCGCATTTGATGTTTTCCAGCCACTGAGGAGTTTTCACTTTGTTCTGGAAAGTTAACACGTCATCAACGCGGTAATAGATGATATCTTGATTTTCTGTAAAATTAGTACCAATCAAAATATCATTATCGATATTTTCGTCTTTCGTTACGTAATACACTATGTTCAGCGTAACGTCGTCGATACGTGTTAAATTTTCCGTAAAATGAGTTACAGTTGTTTCTGTTCCTAAAAACCCGGACAACCTAACCCACTGTTTTAGTGGTTCAATCTTTAAATGTAGTTTTTCTGCTACTTGCGATTTTATAATAGAACAATCGCTACCGAAATCAATAAACGCCGTACATTCCTTGCCATTGATATGAATTTTTTTGTAAAATTTTGAAGAAGTCGTATGATTATCTCGAATTAATTTTACGTTTTCCATTTTGAAATCTTTCTGTCTTCTTTTGTCGTTAGAAATATCTCTTTTGTTTTGTTGTTTGCTTGTACTTGCTGATTTGTTTTTGTTAAAACAAACAGTTTCAATATGTCCCCTTCTTGTACAAAAATTGCATATTTTATTTCTGTGTCGGCAACTATCTCGATTATGGCCCATTCTGCCACAACAACTACATACTGAATGTATATTATCGTTAGTAATTCTATTGGAAGATTTTGAGTGACTACTGCTCGGTGTTGGCTGTGGAAAACATCTCTGGTTTTCGACCGTTACTTTTGTATATGTTTTATTCTTGAGATATACCCCCAATTTGTTGGGGTCTCGAATATTCGATGCCTCAACAGCTGATATTAGGTTAGGATCATTTATAGCACCCATTATGAGAGACACCTTGTCAGAGTCGGAGAAATTGAGTTTTAATTTATTTATTTTCGACAAGTGGTCAAAGTGAAATTCATACAATGATGCTCCTATTGCTGGTTTATGATTAGCAACATCCATAAATAATTCGTATGCATTTCTTGTACTTTGGAAAGTAGAACACAATAACTGTCTCCAATCTGCCCAAGTATTTTGAGACCACCCTAATTCACACTGAATGTAACTCTCATACCAGGTTCTTGCAGTACCTTTCAATTTATTAACTACTTGATAAACAATGAAGCTATCATGCCAATGGTATGCATTAGCGTTATGTTGTATGATTTCTACCCAGTCGGAAATTTCCATGTTCATTGGATCAAACTCAGGAATTATACTAGATAAAACAATACTAGAACTTGGCTGTACGTTAATAATTTGCGGCATATCAGAGTTGGCTTGACTTACAGGTTGGCTTGTTCGTGTTTCTGAAGCTTTCCTGGATTTTTTTTTATGTGTTTGGTGCTCATCACTTGTTCTGGATGAGCTTCTTCTGTATCTGGAAGAGCTTCTTCTGTGTCGTGGAGATCGCCTCCGTGATCTCTTCTCGCGCCTTGGCATTCTTCACCGCACTATTCACACTGTTTTTTGTTTGTTCACCACTTCTGATGTAGTATGCTACTTGGGGTAGGATCGCAATGATAAACTTGAGACGTACAATAAACACTTATAATCAGCTTCTCAGTAATACCACTTGTCTTTACGCTCTCTAGATGAATAATGATTAATTCTACCTTATACCGTTTACATTACATAAAACTATATTAGTCACTATAAGTATATGAGTCGAGTCAGATGCCTTTCCATAGGCGGGTACTGCACAAATAACATTCACAAATGCGGCATTCTTGGATCTTTGTAAGACACTGTAAATCATTATATTTTATTGACTAAACTATCATCAATAGGTGCCAGAGGAAAAATTCATGATTGGTCTCAAAATTACTTGAAGAATAGACAACAATATGTTGATGTGAATAATACTTGTAGTTCCTTCATGAATATTAGATGTAGTGTACCACAAGGGTCAGTTTTGGGGCCAATTTTATTTTTAATTTATATTAACTCAATGTCTACTTCAAAATTGAAAGATAAAAACAAATACGCCTGCGTGCGTAATTTTCCCATTCATACACTTGTTACATAATGAACTATCATACCGTCATCGTTGTCGAACGCCCTGACGCTGTATCTGGTAAGGTCGCAGAACATGTTTATCCTGAGGACGATCGGCTGCATCGACGAAACGTAGAAGGTCTGGCGGCAAATGAAGTTCCAGCCTTGATCGGAAACACGCGTCGAATTGCTGAACTGATACAGGGTGATGGCGCTTTGAATGTCTTCACAGCACCCTCGCTTTTCTGCTATGTTGAGCACGTCAGGAGTGAAGAAATAGTTTCGCAGTAGTGTTACCCCTGTAATTGTGAACAAAACATTTTTAGAAGCTTCCTATTTGTGATCAGTCACTTATATTTCCCTGAATCTTTGTGATTTCATGCATTTGTCTCTATATACCGGGTATCAATGAATCTATTAAACAAAATTGCCCCCATGAGTTCTACAACAGCGTTCAAGGATGCTTTTAGATAAATATGTGAAAATAGGATATTCAGAATATAAATAATTATTCATTATACAGGGAAGAAAAGTAGTAGATTTCAGCTCCAGAATGTGTTGGGATACAAAAAACCGTGCGCCAAAATGTAATATCATTTCAATGTTTTCTGTGACAGGAAAAATTACGAATCAATATCGAGAACATATTATGCTGGCATCTTTCTGCGGACATCTTTGTCATTCTCATCAAGTAATCAAATATCTGTCAGTCTCATTCTATGATTTGATTTTCAAAAATTGCAAATTTAGTGGTTGTTTAGTAATTTACGTAAGTAGATATATATTGAGAGAATCATTACCGGCATCACGGCATCAGGCAACCAATCACAGCGCTCGATATATATTGAGAGAATCATTACAGCTTCAATTGATATTTATTAATGTTAATTGATGACCGGGCAAAGGTCATCAGACTAATTTATATTGATTAACGAAATGCTCCATCAGATGAATTAATCAATGGATTCATCAGACTAATTATCTTCAATTGTGTGATAATTTTCAAATTGAACACTCCCTTCTAGTTTGGCTATAAATACTCTGGTGTAGTCTTGATTTCATTAGTGAACATGCAAGATAGAGACTTATTGGATATATTTATACAAAGTGGTGATTATCGTGTGGTCGAAACAAAACAGTGTTGTGTTTGCAAAAAAATTATCAATCGAACATATCTATCAAGTGGTTGTTGGTTGAGCAGACCAAAATTGACAATTGAATTGTGCAAACGTCTTTGCAAGCAAACGAGGCCAATAAAAGTCGTCAGATCTTACGCGAAGGATCCTTCATTAGTACTGCTGTCCCCCAACCATGAACATTTCTGAAAAAACGGAGAAAATTGAAGAGAACTGGGATAATGATGATTATTCCACTTATGTACCGAATGTCGAGGACAAAGACATTATCAGATGTCCACCACCTGGCAAGAGCAGAAGGGAAAAACGGAAATTCCGAATGGATGAGAGAATACGGCATAGTCAAATTAAAAATATGCTGACCCTAGAAGAACAGCAAGTCTGGGATGAAAAAGTATTTCAGAATCAGCATAGATTTTCTAATGTAACGGGAAAATGAGACTTTGATAAATGAAATGAATATCCTGTATCTTACCAGTTTCAATAAATATGACTTGAAAGTAGATGATGATTTCAGTTTATCAGAAGTTGTGACCATGATCACACCACAATGTTTAGTTTTACAAGTGATTCTTCAAGGCTTTCTCTATATCGCAAAACCTTATAATATAAGAGAAGTATTCATATGTTTCGATAGTGATGGTACACGAAATGAAAGTTGGCCTTCTAAATGGGCAAGAATGGAATCAACTACAATAAATAATGTTTCAACTCTCAAATCACTCATACCCAGCAATAGCACTATGTACAAGTTGCGATTGCGAAAGGGCAGTGGCTCCACCATTGATTCTGACTGGTGTGAACTAAATCCCTCCCCCCCACTACACCATGATACAAATATAATGAAGGATGATGCGGAATTCAAAATAGTCGATTGGGTTACGTACTACACAGCAGTGTGTGCATCATTGTTGCTGTTCAACCTCATTGTTACAACATGTCTAAAGATTGCCCTAACTGTTTATTGACCGAACTCGTGAATAAACACCGAAACCGAAATAAAAAATTGTACGATTTTACCGAAGAAGAGCTCCAGAATTTTCCACTACATTATCTTATTAAAAATGTAGGTCCGATGGAACTTCTCTATGCATGGGACAAACTGCCATCAAAATATACAGAGAATTTTGAACTTCGTATCCAGCTACCATGCTTTGTCCACTTCAATCGCCCTGAATGGAGAGATCATGTAGACGGCCTTCCTCAAGCACAATCAAGCTGTCATGTTTGTAGATGGGGCCTCGAGCGATGTGGATAATATTAATATTTTGTATTGAATAAATGTAATAAAACAAATTCACTCGATAATGATTTTTATTTCATATGTCACAAATACTACATATTATAATCCATAATTACAATATACAAATGAAAATCACATCAAAACTATTGGTCAGAGTCTTCCTCGTCAATCAAATCTTGAGCTATTTCCAAAAACTCATCTAAAGTTCCAGTGATAGCTCCTGGTGTTATAAGGAAATGACCCCAAGCCAAAGTTTTCACATCAGAAGGAATTTTATAACGCTTATCATCAGCAGATGACAAAGCGACTTTATTTCTTAATTCCGTATGAATGGTGTGGAGAGAAGAAGTGAACATATACATCTTACGTAATATTGTTCCACCATTTTCTACAATATTCACATAGTCTGAAAACTGAATTTGGTTTTTGACCACGTTTTTTGAGACACCTTTGGCTTTTTTCATCACATCACCTGCTTTTACACAGTATGCTTTCGCACCAGTACCATAGAAAGATTCAATAGGTCTTGCGGCATATTCATCTTTCATGCGTCCTATAACAGATTTCGATTTGGGGATTTGGTGTATATTGTCTATGGGATAATTTGACGTATCGAAAAATTGGATATTTTCTTTCATATCATTATAGAAATTTTCTGTGAATATTTCTAGAATTAATGAATCCGTATCGGTGTAGCATAATGTTGCTTTATCACCATATTTTGCTTTGATATATCCATAGAAAAAATCGTAAATGACAGTTTTCGAAATATCCAATACCGAAAATCCAACATACATCGGTTTATCATAACATACACTAGTCTTTTCCAACTGAATTGCAACCAAGTTCTCACTGAATTCTGTACTGCATTTGAAATGTGGTTTGGCTATCAAAGCCCTTGCCCCCAGAGAATTTGTCTTATTTTCCCAGCGTGAGCAAAGTTGCAAGTCAATTCTTTTGTCGACATTTTCCATGGTTTTTCCAAATATTGAATTTATCAATAATTTGAAGAGTTCTCGTTCAAATTCGTTTACTGCGGAATTCCGGAGGTGCGTGTTCAGGTCAATATATGGCCTCAACCACGCCGATTGGGAGAATTCTAAGATTCTATGGATTTTCTCTAGTTTCAAACCATATATCAAACACTGCTTCAAATTTCGGTAATGTATAATGTATTTGCATTTGTTTCGTAAATTGGGGATCAGTTTGGCACTCTTACTCTTTGGCGGGATCATTTGTTCTGGGCAAAATGGTAAATCGTTGTGATCATGGTGTAGGTTGGCTGGATATTCCAAGTCCACTTCTAAAACGTATCCTTTTGATGAGTCGTCCTCGATCGCGTGACAGTCAAAGTTTTCGATATCCTCAGACTCGACCCACTTAAAATCACCTGTTGGAAGATGACTTGCCATACTTGCTCCATATAAATTTGTTGCATCCAAATACATGATGTATGATGTTGGTTTCTGAGAATCAAAGTTTGGTAGGAATTTGTTATTTGCCACAGCTCTTCTTTTGCTACATTGTGCCACCCCTCCTCGAATACCCTTCTTGAAAAAATGTATCATATCTATATCAGTCAAGAGCTGAAGTTCAATCTGTGTATAACGTAACATAGCATCCCAGCTCAGTGCAGGTGCTGTCAGATAGTGGGCAGGATCTAGCTTGTATTGTTGCATGCAGCATTTTCTGAAATTCTCAAAAACGTCCGCTAGCAGCAGACAATCGGATTTCAAATAAACATCGGCGTAATCTCCCAATGTTTTACATTCGAAGGTATTCCACACATCTATAGCTCTATTATAATCCATGTCTGAAAGTGATTCGCCGGTTAATTCATTATAGAACTTTTCTTTCGGCGGTAGTTGAGTTTCTTTCAATTTTTCCAAGCAGTCCACATAGTTGTAAGGAAAAACTCCTTTTTGTCTTATTAGATCAAATTGTTTGTTATCTTGGAAGTATTTCCGAACCTCGTTACACTGCTGCACCTCTAAATTTTTGCTGAGTTTGTCGAGAGATTTTGGTAAAAATCGAAAGGAGTCTACAAATCTCAACTGAATATATTCATCAAATACTCTTGACACTTCAGATTTATTAACCAATACTGACTTGGAGAACGAAATATACTTTTCTTTAGTTTGGGCTATCACTGATATTCTTTCTCCTTTCGTTGCTAATTTCTTGATGAAAAGATGAGAATCATAATTTGTGAGGTTGTGGAAGAATACTGGAATAGTCTTTGAGGTCTTGTAGTTCAAATTACAAACACTATGGGCAGCTGCACGAAATTTTCCAGTGTGGTGGCAGTGATCACGAACTTTGATATCTGTTGGCTTGAATGGCTTTCCACAAATATGGCACGTAGTACTATTTTGGAAACCTTGCTTCTCTATCTCAGTAAGTGGATGCATTTCACGAACATCCTTCATGTGATTCATGTATAAATCTTGAACGGTTTCATCCAACTTTCTCACAAAAACGTCAGCAGCATCTGCACCGCGATAAAGTACATACCTTGAGTAACGGTCATCAAAACTACATTTTACATAAAACGCGAACGAATATGGTTCATGTTCACATACTTTAACTGAAAATGATTTATCGTCACAGGGTTCATTGTGTTGAATTGGTTTGAGTAAACTTTCAAAGTCAGCATAAATCACAAACGGTGGTGACAGTTGTTTTTCAAAGTTAGTGAATTTGAGGATGTTTTCAGGCACTGATTCACCATATTTATTGATTTTCAAATTGGTGGTGGGTATCTTTGTGCTCGTATGATTACAGTCATTTTCCTCATGACTTCCCAACTGCGCCAGTGTTGCGAACGATTGTAGGCATCCATCGCAAATATATATTTTACCATTGTGATTCGATTTTTGTTTCCCAACTAATTTGCCTAGGTCTTTTATTAGGCAATAAT